AGGAACAATGAACAAATCCTTTAGTAGGAATTGTGTTCCTTGTTCCTGTTCAGACGCGGACTGTTTTTGCAGTACATTCAATAATATTCATCATTAATAGTTTATGAATTTCTTTACTCCATTTTAAGGCTATAACCCCAGCAAAACATTCACGGGTGAAGTTGTGCCCAAATTTTAGCCCCAGTCCAGCCCTGCACTGAGCATAGGTTCTACCAAGTTCAACTCCAACCACATCATTAAATTTGTACACAATTGACCCTGTTGTGCTAAGCCTCATCAGCACTAAAGATGAAACACTACAGAGAGGATGTGGCACAGCTGGTTGAAAAAGTGTGGTTGGGGTGAGCGAACTTCCCAAAATATCAGACAGCAGGTTTATACTCACCACGTCCGTACAAATGCAAAGGTGCGCACCGCAAAAATTATGTCAAGGTGGTATGGGCAGTTGTGCGCATTGAGTGTGCACTAAGTGTGTCCCAATTGGCATACTTATGCATTATTCTATGCCATTTTGTAGTATAAATAGTGCGAGTAGTGTGTTCACACTGAAAATTCCAAAAAAGGAAAAAGTGCACTACGCATACGTCCTACGTCATCCACCTGGAATGGCTTGCGAGCACACCAGTTAACGGAAGTTAGAGAAAAGTGTATATAACATTTTAAATATGAATTTTTATTTTTTTTTTACAAAAATGCATCGATTCGCTACAGGAGGCCTTTATTTACCCCCAAAGCCATCTGAGGCACTTTTTATTATGGATGGATGCGCTTTATTGGACTTTTTTTTGGACTGTTGAACAAAAACACCCGGCATTATAAAGTTTGGAAGAGCCAGGACAATTGTTTATACAGTGGTGTGAAAAAGTGTTGGCCCCCTTCCAGATTTCTTATTTTTTTGCATATTTGTCACACTTAAAAGATTCAGATCATCAAACACATTTTAATATTACACAAAGATAATGCAAGTAAATACAAAATGCAGTTTTTAAATGATGATTTCATTTATTAAGGGAAAAAAGCTGTCCAAACCTACCTGGCCCTACGTGAAAAATTAATTGCCCCCTAAATCTGCAATTAACTGCAATTAACCACATTATTTTAGAAAGCTGAGTTCAATTTCACTAGCTACACCCAGGCCTGATTACTGCCAGACCTGTTAAACACTCTATCAGAAAATCCTGAAGGAGAATGTCCGGCCATTAGTTTGTGACCTCAAGCTCAAGCGCACTTGGGTTATGCAGCTGGACAATGATCCCAAACACACCAGCAAGTCCACCTCTGAATAGCTCAAGAAAACTAAATTAAGGTTTTGGAGTGGCCAAGTCAAAGTCCGGACTTAAATCCGATTGAGATGCTTAAACAGTCCATTCATGCTCGAAAACCCTCCAATGTGGCTGAATTAAAACAATTCTGCAAAGAAGAGTGGGCCAAAATTCCTCCACAGCGATGTGAAAGACTCATTGCCAGTTATCGCAAACACTTGATTGCAGTTGTTGCTGCAAAGCGTGGCACAACCAGTTATTAGATTTAGGGGGCAATTACTTTTTCACGTAGGGCCAGGCAGGTTTGGACAGCTTTTTTCCCTTAATAAAATAAATCATCATTTAAAAACTGCATTTTGTATTTACTTGCATTATCTTTGTGTAATATTAAAATTTGTTTGATGATCTGAATCTTTTAAGTGTGACAAACATTAAAAAAAATAAGAAATCAGGAAGGGGGCCAACACTTTTTCACACCACTGTATAACTTCAACTGTATTCGTTTGAAAGAAGAAAGCCTAGGATGCCTTGAGGGTGAGAAAATCATTTTCATTTTTGGATGAACTATCCCTTTAACATCATTGAATTTCAGTCAGAGTTGTGCGACACTCAATCACTATTTACGGATCCCATAGGAATGAATGAGAAGTGCCATAAACTGAATCTCACCTGTCGCAAAAAGTCTGTGACTTCTCTTATAAAACAGCATTTTTTCTGTGTAAACTCTGAAAATAGTTCAATCCAAAACTATTGTTTAGTTTAAAGCACGTTGAAGATTAGCCGATAGGCTGTCGATTCATTAAATTATAAGCTCCTCAAAAAAGTCATTTATTCAGTATAGTGAAACCTCTCCTCCATTTTCTTGGCTAAAGGTTGCAGTCTTGCCTCCCAGAGACTTATTCTTGAAACATTTAGACTTTATTCTCATAATTTTGACTTTTAAAAAAAAATATTTCAACTTAATTCTCGTAATGTTGACTTTACTCTCAAAATGTTTTTGTCACGAATCCGGTCCATAAACTTCTGTCTGCTCACCACCAGAGGTCACCCTTCCACTATTATGGACTCTTGCACCACACCACTGTTGCACTTCACCCGGACTACAGTTCCCATCATCCATTGCACTGATTACACACACACAGTTGATTGCACACAGCACTGATTGCACACAGCTGTCATCAATCACACCTTCCCTATATAACACTCACTCTTATCCCGTCAAGCTGCCGAGTATTGTTTAGCATATAATCACTCACCTAGCGATAGCTGCTCTACGGAGCCCGTTAGTTTTCATAGCCTTACCTTAGTCTTGCCTTGTCTGTTTTCTTGTATCCTGATCTTTGCCTGTGCACCTCGGATTCGGCCTCTCGTCTTGCCCTATTCAGATACTGTTTGCCCCTGCCTGGACCTTTGTGTTGTACTTGGATTTACCCCTCTAGTCTCGCCCTGTTAATTCTGTTCACCGATCGTAGACCCACGCTAGCCCTAGGATATATTCTTGTGTCTTGCCTTCTACATACCTGTTGCCATTATCTGACCCTTGCCTGTCTCTACCATGTCTATGAATAAAGCCTTGCATTTGGATCCGCACGTCTCATGTCTCGTCAGCCCCGTAACAGTTTTAACTTTATTCTCGTAATTCTGACTTTATTCTCTAAATATTTTGACTTTAATCTTGTCATTTTAGTTGTTGATTTTTGCGTGGCACTAAAACACCATCATAGTTTTCAGAGTACGTCACAGCAGCGTCCATCTGCTATTTAAATATGCAAAACTCTTAGCCAACCATAGCAGTGGGCGTTCACTTGTGAGTCTTGAATGCACCCCGTCTATAAAAACAGACCATTCTGCAGAGAGGCTCAAAGACAGGATAGAAAATAGCCTATTACTTCTAAATTACGATTTTTTAAAAATGTAAAATCACACTATAGCATTATAAGTGAACCTCAGAGAACCTTATTAAATAATTTGAAAAATGCAGTTCATGACCCCTTTAAATTCTCGTGATTTCTCAATGCAGTTTGTACTGAATGTGCCTATAGCTTGCAAAGACACTTTTTGAGCAGAACTTTGCTATGTGTGTGCATGATCATATATATTACAGGTTTTATACAAGTTAAGCTCTTTTTATGGGAGATACTTTTGATTAATAATTTTGACCATATTACATAATACAATACTTTTTTTAACAAAAATATACAAATTATTTCTCTGGTTTTCATGTCATAATTGCATTACTGTGGATGGGCTTTCAGAAAACTGAAGGAGGAAGTGGTTTTTTGTTGTTGTTGTTTTTTTCTAATGTAATGTAAAACAGAAAGCTTACGCTGCAATTCTGAAAAATTGTATAACATCAGTGATAAAAGGAAAGGTGCTCAAAACCTTTAAAGCAGGCAAAGTTATTTATTAAGTTTTCACATTTAAACACACAGACAGTAGAATGGAACAATATACTCTACTAAATCACCATATCAACCATTCGTTTTCCCTCTTATACCCTGAGCAAAGCAATATTATAATAAGCATGAGTGGAAAATAACTGAATGAAAACAAAAAAACCATAAACCTAAAACTATCCCAATACTCAAGCATGATGAAATGTGTTTGATACCATCAGATACTGTAGGCTTTAGCATACTGAAATGATGAAGGCATGTTTCATTCACATTCATATAATTCACATATATTTTTTAAGGGATGGAGAGCTGTTTCACATTATTCACTCAGCCTTAAAATAATAAACATTTCACAGATGCCATAGTGCTTGATTTGCAATATTATTTCAAAGCAGAATATTTAAAAAACTACAATTGCTGAACTCCCAAGACATGGCTGCTCACATTAGGACATATTACATCAAATACTTCATAATCACAGTGAGGAAATGAAAAAAATCACTACACAATAGAAGTGTAAAGTCCATCAAAAATTGTGCTTCTCTTGGCTTTTGAGCACAAAATATAGCTCTGCATAATGTTTAAGGTGGCTAAAGTTTTTTTTATACCTAAAAATTAGGTTGTTCTTGAGTATGAATATTTACACCAAGTTAAACAATACAAAAAACAGTAAAAAAGAATCTGTAAAATTATATTCCATATAAAAATAAATTAAAAACCAACAAAATATTATTGTCAAAACATTATAAAATGTTTTGATGAACTCTTCCTCATCTTGACACATGTAAACACATTTTTACTAAGCATAAATGCTAAATATTTTCAAGTTGTTCACAATACACATATGATATCTCAAATATTTCTGGAATTTTGGTTGTTAGTAATTAGATGATATTTTGCTGAGAGTTTTTGTGCTGGTTTGTCTTGATTGGTTTAGGCCTGTCTCACTCACAAAAAAGCTTTTCATATTCTTCTCTGCATTAAAGGTGACATTTTCTCCCTTAAATTAATTTCCAGGGGCATTTTGTCCAACCTTATTAAATAAATGCATTATCTTTTATGACAAATTCCTTCATTTAATCCATAAATTCCGTTAGAATAGGACACAATCAGGCTGTTACACATCAAAAGAAATCACCAAAATCCATCTTTGGCACAGAAGCTGCATCTGAAGTGGCATTTAAATAATGTTGATAATGTCAGTTTCACATTGACATCAACTATTGCACACATTGCAGACATTCGGTATGTTGACAGAATCCTGTGCAGATCTGTTGGCTCTGAAGGTGAATTTCAAGTAACCAGTGTCATCACTAGATGCACTTTACCTCAGGAGAGAACATTATGAGTCCTCATGTGTCCCTCTTATCCAGCGGACTGGCAAGAAACCTCCATTCACAGGTTGGCTTTTCTTGATGACAACAATTATAAGAGCCAGAACCACCAGAACCCCAAACACAGTCAGTACACCAATCACAATCTTTACAGCTGGAAGGTGAAAAGAGAACATTTTTTTTTCTTTTTGTAAACTCACTGCTTAAATATTTTGTAACATTATCAATGACTCCTGTTCTACTTACTATGTTGTTCAGGGGCATTAGGTTTGTCATCATCTGTCCTCTTTGAGTCAGATTCTGTACTAGATTCTGTAGAGGGTATTGAAAGGCTAGTCTTACTATTTAGCATTGCTGTTCAAATCATGATGTGTAAACCTCAGCTGTGCACTTTATAAATAATATTCCTAGCATCCACTGATCCCCCAAACACAGTCAGTACACCAATCACAATCTTTACAGCTGGAAGGTGAAAAGAGAACATTTTTTTTTTCTTTTTGTAAACTCACTGCTTAAATATTTTGTAACATTATCAATGACTCCTGTTCTACTTACTATGTTGTTCAGGGGCATTAGGTTTGTCATCATCTGTCCTCTTTGAGTCAGATTCTGTACTAGATTCTGTAGAGGGTATTGAAAGGCTAGTCTTACTATTTAGCATTGCTGTTCAAATCATGATGAGTAAACCTCAGCTGTGCACTTTATAAATAATATTCCTAGCATCCACTGATCTTCTCTCACCTGTGACAGTCACTGTGATCAAGACTTCTCCTTCAGAGTCCAGAACTCTGTATGTTCCTGTATCATTGGATGTAAAATTTTTAATGGTCAAGTTCCCATCAGTGTCAGTCAGTCGATCACTCCAGACCCCATGACCTCTCTTCCACACCTCTGTCCACTCTCCACTGGAGTTTGTCTCTACTTTATCAGCACGGGACAACAAAACATCCAACTTCATCTGCTCGCCTGTTTTCACAGAAATTTCATCTGAAGAGAAACAGAAGGACATTTATCTTTAATCATTGTTATGATGGTGTCAATCAGACAAGGCCATAAACACATATACAGGGTTAAGGGGACCAAAAGCAATCTCAATGGTATTATATTTTAATATTCCAATACGAGGCCTTGGAAAAAAACATATTGGAGATGATTAATCTGAATAGGTGGTGTCATTCAGTGTCTCTGATGGTTACAGGAAGTCACCACCACCAACACAAAAGGAAAGCTGATGGTTTGAACAGTTTTGACTTTACCTTGAATTTGAAGATGGTACTCTCTGATTTGTAGCTCTGCAGTATTATTGTAATGGACTCTCAAAATGTATTTCCCAGCATCACTCAGTCTCAGATCCTTGATGATTATGTCACAGGCTCCTTTTTTAAATATTCGGCCATTTTCACTCTTACACTCTTCGTCCTGACAAGCAAGGACTCTTTGTGACAGACTGGTTAAAATAAAATGAAAAATCTCTCTGGCTTGAATATCACATGGCAGGGTGGCATCTTCTCCTTTTTCTCCTGTCACGTGTATAAGGATATTTCCTATGGTGGTTTCTGCAAAAAACGGACACTATTCATTTAATACAAACTGAACAATACACATTTTTGTCTATTCTCAGTAATGAAGGTCATCATGAAATATTTTAGTCACTTGCTCACACATCCAAGTGGATTCAGTAATTGTGAACTGAAGATGGTGGCGTTTCTCCAGTATTTAACATCAGAAATGCCAGGAAAAATTAAGGTTGTTGATTCAAGATGGCCTTCGCCATATAATAATTTATAATTAAACGATCATCTCGCTTTCTTCAGAGTTAGCTTGTTCAGTCATTAAGACAGTGTTGCTTATTGACCTTTGAAAGCTAACAAACGAATGAACTGAATGAAATCAGTGTGGTATATGATAATGTAATATGCTGAGGAATTTTCCACCATCAGTCACTGACTGTCAACCAAAGTCTCTCAAAGGCTGAGTGACACAACAGAGAAACAATCGACTAGAATAACTCCTGGACTAGAATACTACCTGGAACTGAAGAATAAACATTGTTACAGTTCATAAACTAATATTATACTGACCTCTATAATTGATCAAGCAAAACAGCAGCAGCAGATTCAACCATCTGAACCTGTTGAGAAAACAGAAGAGCTGGTTTATGTTTGCATCCACCTATTTTTATGTGCATTTTGGGATAGCGCATACAAAAATGGTGGATGGAAGAGTCGCATTCACAAACACTAGGCATCTGAATGCAAGATAACATGACAGCGTTTATTGCAGATTTAAGATTACAGTTTTTTATGTATTTTTGATCAAATAAATGCAGCCTTGATGAGCAGAAGAGACTTCTTTAAAAACATTACAAGTCTTACTGATCCCAAACTTTTGAAAGGTAGTGTACATTTACATTACATTTACATTCAGTCATTTAACAGATGCTTTTATCCAAAGCGACTTACAAGTGAGGACAATAGAAGCAATCAAAATCAACAAAAGAGCAATGATACGCAAGTGCTATAACAAGTCTCAGTTAGCCTAACGCAGTACATGTAACAAGGTTTTTTTTTATTATATAATAAATAAAAATAAAACAGATGGAATAGAAAAAGAATAGAGCAAGTTAGTGTTAGAGGCCTTTTTTGCTTTTGTTAATCGTATAATAAATAAAAATAAAACAGATGGAATAGAAAAAGAATAGAGCAAGTTAGTGTTAGAGGCCTTTTTTGCTTTTGTTAATCGTATAATAAATAAAAATAAAACAGATGGAATAGAAAAAGAATAGAGCAAGTTAGTGTTAGAGGCCTTTTTTGCTTTTGTTAATCGTATAATAAATAAAAATAAAACAGATGGAATAGAAAAAGAATAGAGCAAGTTAGTGTTAGAGGCCTTTTTTGCTTTTGTTAATCGTATAATAAATAAAAAGAAAACGAATAGCTAGAAAACAAAAAGATTAGAGAAGCTAGTGTTAGTTTTTTTAAGAAAACAAGCAGTTAGTAAATGAACAGAGTTCAAGTCTAAAAGGAGTAAGTTTTTTTAGAATATTAAAACATATTTACAAATATTAAATATTTAAATAATTAAATAGTTATTGCACAATCTGAGGCTCAAATTATTTATTATATATGAAAATTATTATATACAGTGGCTTCTACTGCAGCAACTTCCATTTTTCTTAGTAGCCAGGTTTCCATCCAATGGATTTTTATTTATTTTTTTTGCAGAAAGAAAAAAAATGCTAATGGAAATGGCATTTATCAATAAAAGAAAAAAATCTCCAGTGTAGACACAGTCTTTTTCCATTTAAATTTAGCTCATAAATTCTATATTGATACTTCAAATATCTCAAAAAATAGTTTGGAAACACTTTTTGTGGAGAAATGGGGCTTTAACGCAAATAAAAATGTGGTGACACATGACATAATTAGCCTGTTGGCAGTGTCCGTGTTCTGAAGATGAAAAAGTCCAATTGCATTCTGTACACTGTATGTGCCTTGTTAATTTCATGTATACAATTTAATAATAGCCTGTTTTGTTGAGGAAAATATAGCTACTAGCCTATATAATTTGTCCAATCATGCCAAAAACCCCTGGTTATTTTGTGAAATATTATTGCAATTTAAAATAACATTTTCTATTTTAATATACTTAAAATATAATTTATTCCTGTGATTTCAAAGCTGAATTTTCAGCATCATGTGCTGGAAACTGTTGTGCTGCTTCATGTTTTTTGGAACCTGTGATACTTTTTTCAGGATTCTTTGATGAATATAAAATAAAATAAACAGCATTTATTCAAAATGGAAATCTTGTGTTACAATATAAACTACCGTTCAAAAGTTTGGAGTCAGTACATTTTTTTCTTTCTTTTTTTATTCAGCAAGGATGTGTTAAATGGATACAAAGTGATAGTAAAGACTCATATTGTTAGAAAAGATTTTAATTTTAAATAAATGCTGTTCTTTTAAACTTTTTATTCATCAAAGAATCCAGAAAAAAGTATCACAGTTTCCAAAAAACATGAAGCAGCACAACTGTTTGCAGCACTGATAATAAATCAGCATATTAGAATGATTTCTGAAGATCATGTGACACTGAAGACTGGATAAAATTCAGCTTTGATCACAGAAATAAATTACATTTTAAAGTATATTAAAACAGAAAACCAATATTAGAAATTTAAATAATATCTCACAATGTTGCAGCTTTTTCTGTATTTTTGATTAAATAAATACAGCCTTAATGAGCATAAGAGACATTAAAAAAACATAAAAAATCTTACTGATCCCAAACTTTTGAACGGCGGTGTATGTCTGCACTTTGTTTGTATTTTCTGTACCAGAAGCTCATAACACCAAGACAAATTCCTTGTGTGTGTGAACACACTTGGCAATAAAGCTCTTTCTGATTCTCATTTTGATTCTGATTAGTCCTCAACATCTAAGAAAAATGCTAGTAACAACTGTTACTTGTAAAAACAAGTAACAGTTGATTTGTGAGGAGAACAATCACGTTTATTTTCTATAAACAAAATAAAACCGAACACCTCAAAATTCCAATAAATTAATGTCAACACAACTGCCTCTTAAACGTCCACAGACACTCAAGTCTCAATGAGGCACAAGTGCTCAAAAAGGACATAAGTAAACCAGTAGGCCTAGCCTTCAAAAAGTTATCTTCAATAAAATATATTTAAATTGTGCTTTTTCAGACATTTACTATATTTAAAGTATACTATACTAAGTGCATATTAAATGTATTATTTTGAAACAACTTTAAGTATATTAAGCGTATTTCAAGATATGCTGAAGTTGGATTTTAATCTATTTGTAATATATTTAATATATTGAAATTGTTAAATTGGAACCACTTTAAGTATATTTAGTGCAATTTAAGTGTATTTCTTAAAATACATTTAAAATGTCCTTTTAATACTTCATGAACTACAGTTAGAGTATATTTGAAGCATTGTTTTAATGTACTTCAAGTACATTTCAATTGTATTTCAGCTCATTCATTTTGATTCTGATTAGTCCTCAACATCTAAGAAAAATGCTAGTAACAACTGTTACTTGTAAAAACAAGTAACAGTTGATTTGTGAGGAGAACAATCACGTTTATTTTCTATAAACAAAATAAAACCGAACACCTCAAAATTCCAATAAATTAATGTCAACACAACTGCCTCTTAAACGTCCACAGACACTCAAGTCTCAATGAGGCACAAGTGCTCAAAAAGGACATAAGTAAACCAGTAGGCCTAGCCTTCAAAAAGTTATCTTCAATATGATAGATAAATAAAATAATGTTAAGTTATTAAGTCAAAGGCTTCTTGCGCTAGACATGCTGGTTTTGGCCTCATCACTGGCTGCAGTCATGTATGTCCTCATCTTGTAAATAAAACACCAGCGGTTCACAACTTTATGCACTTGCATTTGCATCAAGAAGCCTTGTTGACAAGTTTCGGTGAGTAAGGGCAAAACGGACGAGATATACTTTTAATATAATGTAGATGGAAATATTGCTGCTGAACTGAAAAAAAAATAAAAAAAATGAAGAAGAAAAAAAACTGTTGCAGAAAAAGTTAGATACCATACAAAATGTAATTAGTAATTCTATTG